AAAAAAAAAAAAAAAAAAAAGAAAAAAAGAAATCTAATCTGCTCTCGTTCTACGAGAGACGAACGTGTATTTAAGGATCGGTGAAATCGAATTTGATCACCTGCGTTCTAATTGCGAATTGCTACACCCTCGTCAACAACGCGGTCGTGAATGAATCGTCTCTCCTCTTCTTTCGTAGTTTTCGCGTGGAGGAGAAATGTTTATCGTCGTCAAAAACCTGTATTATTTTGAACTCCCCCTTGTAGATAATAAAACGAATTTATTTGCATTACGAATTATTATTACATTAATCGCAATAGTCGATTCTATAATATTATTATATTGTATTATTATTATATGATTATTATTATTATTATTATTGTTATTGCTTTTCATATTATAATTTAGAGATTTCCTCCGTAACTATTGTATATTCGCGAAGACTGAAAAGCTGTAAAGTGTAAGTATACCTGATGCGCGCGAGCTTGTTATGCTCGCTCGCGCGCGAAATAAAATACAAACTGTGTCCATAAGATTACTTTCTGCGTGGTATACTGTTCTTATTCTCATCTACTGTTCTTATTCTCCCCACCTCTGGTAAATATAGTCGATTAAAAATTCGAATTAAGTAAAACCAGCGACCAGTATAAACAGGGTGATACTCGTAAATGAATCACAAATGAAGCTACTCAGAGATATATAATTCTTGCACTGTAAATATAAAACGAAATCTTCGAATCTTCATTTCGAGTAATTGCAATACTAAATGAAGACTATTTGTGCTCGCTGGATGCGCGTAAGTATACGTTGGAAAAAAAAAGAAGAGAAGAATAGCATGTTTAAGGCTAACCTTAACTCTTCGAGGAAAGATAAATGCAGGAGTATAACTCGGGGGGGGGGGGAGGGGAAAGCCCACGGTGCTTCCACCCAATCGTATTTTCTACTCGTACAAGTCTCTAAAGCACGTATCCTTTCCAGCGTAAGATGTTGCCAATAAATTCGTCAATATATATGCATCTTACACTTTCGCATCATTCTCCTTGCCCCCATCTAAAAATTTACAGCGATTACGGCAGCCCTTCGATCCGACCTGCAATCCAAGAGGAGATCCATCTGACACCA